TCTCTCTCAAGTGTGTCACACATTTTGAAAGAAATGAGTGACTTTCGCCTGGCGCAGCCTTTTAAAGGCGTCGCTGGTTGCGGACAGACGTTGCGAGCGTTCAGGATTGCTAACCCTACTCACTTTTCTCCGGTGATAAAAACTCGTGACAATTCGCATCCTTTATACGGTACGCGCCAGTAATACCTTAAACATGAGCACACGCATGAAATGCGCCAAATAAGAAATCCGGGCGATGTTCGAAAACACAAATTGCTTAGAAATCACCACTGTAGTCGAAGTAAACAAACACAACGACACGGGCGTTTCTGCCGTCTTGAGAGTGCCGCCACGACATCGCCGCACGAGTAGGTGGATCTTCCCTTCTAGTACGTGCTGGGTTATTCGCTCACACAACGAAAATTCACAGTTAAGGATAGCACTTTTTTATGCAGAACGACAAGCTTCCACCACGCCGTCTACGTCGACGATTACAACCGACGCCATGTTTGCGGATAGAGGCAGCCGGCCTGCGACCGGCATGCAACGAGCGCGAACACTTCTCCTCGACCTGCGATCGGTCTGTCGTTGCGGTTGTTTTCCAACGTAGCGGAGGGACGCACTATCCATAATTTCACTCCAACGCTTACAACAACAACAACGCACGTGAACGACACCTGCGTGCGTACCTCCGTCGCTATGGCAACTGAAGCCTCTCTCTTCGCTTCTCCCCGCTTCTTCGAGCAGCCTCCTTGCCCCGCGTCTTGCCCCGCGAGTGACGCTTGCGGCTAGCGCCGTTATCTAGTGTCTCACAGGGAAGCGTGCTCGCTCCGTTGGTCGGTCGGCGGGCTGTTCCAGAAACCGCACTATAACTGGTATTTCCCTTCGCGCGCCTGCATTTTAAGCGGTATGTAATTACATGGAGTTCTATGGGAGGTGAACCGGTGGTTTAAAAAAGCCGCGTTATACCCGGTCCTGCACTATAAGCGGTTACGTTGTAAGTGGTCTATACTGTATAAGGTGGTTAGAAACGCTGTGAATCCATATTTGTACCTTTCCTGTTTCCCTCCGATTCTTTGAATATTAAAATCTACCAATTATAAAATATTTTTATTTTTTGCTTTGTTCAAGCACACCTCGGTGCAGGTATGGCACAATTCTTAGCAAAACAGGCGCTTGGGCGCAAAATGTAGCAGACTTCCCTTAGATGGCGCAATTCGGCACAAAGGGCACAGCACTTCCATCACTGAGTTCAGCGCAAAATCCGAAGGAATGCTCACTCGACTGCGTCAAGAGCGTACCGAATCCTAGACGGTCTCAAGGAAGTAGTACAGGGACAACCGGAAGAAATGCTGGAACTCAGCATCATACAAAGGTCAGCAAGTCCATGGGCATCCCCCACGGTGTACGTGAAGAAGAAGGATAATGGGACGAGGCTGTGCGCCCACTTCAGAAAGCTGAACGTGACAACTCCATGCCTACTCCATGCCATCACTGTCAGAGATGCTGGAGACAGTGGGAAGAGACATATTCATCAACACATTGAACATGTTTCGGAGATACTGGCAAATCGAGCTCACAGACAAGGCTATCCCGAAGACGGCATTGCGCACGGACACCGGTCTCTACGGGTTTATGGTGATGCCGTTGGGGTTTAAAGAAGCGCCCGCGACATTTTAACGATTGGTGGACGACCTGCAGAGAGAGCACCGAGACTCCACGTGGGCCTACCTTGACGACATTGTGGTGCTCAGCACCAAGTGGGACGAACACCTATATCACTTGGGAGTTGTCCTGAAGACACTGCATCAGGAGGGACTGATAATGTAACTCAAGAAGTGCCAATTCAGAAAGCGGGACGCTCACTATCTCAGGCACGTGATTGGGCATGGAAAGGCACAACCTGATAATAAGTTTTGGGGTATGGTCCCGAAAGGTCGGGACCATCTAATCCCTCGAGAGACCAGTCACAAAAACAGAGCTTTGGTCATTATTGGGATTGCTCAATTTCTACCGAAACTTCATCGAAAACTTTGTGGAGCTGGCTGCACCGCTAACTGGCTCACATGCAAGGCTCAGCCCAAACAGGAGATTTGGACGCCCTCATGTGAGGCAACTTTTTGGGCACTGAAACAGAATATGCAGCACTCCAGTGCTGCGAATCCCGAACCCAATCGGCCGTACATCCCGCAGGTGGACACCAGCAACAGAGCAATCAGAGCCATCCTGGCTCAAACTAGTGAGGGCATCGAAAACCCACTGGCGTATGGGAGCCGCAAACTGCTGCTTTGCGAAATGAAGTACCGTAATATCCCGAGTCATCGCCCACCCCCCTACCGCCTGAAATTCATTAAAAAAGTGGGGTGGGCCATGTCTCGGTGGGTGAGCACAAACACTTGAAAAAAAGCGGAAAAAACACCTATTTTTCTCTGCATATCTAGCGCTGATGTACACGAGATACATCAAACTCAAAACTCGATTTAGTTTCATTGTTTTATCGAAAAAAAATGCTCACGAAAGAATATTTTACTATAGCGAAGTCCGTTGCTTGCATACGCGCTGGAAACACCGCCGATCTGGATATAGCGCGAACGTTGAATTGTTCCGTGAAAGAATGTTCTCCTAGTTAGTAAAAAAAAAAAAAAAAAAAAAAAAAAAAAAAAAAGTGTACAAGAAAATAGAAAAACCGACGAGGCGCAACGAGCGAGCGGACCAAAGAAGCGACCAAGAGCAATGCTGGGAAAGCGGGAAAGCCCGCGGTCGCGTTGGCAAATACTTTGGTGTCTTGTTTGGTGCTTACATACGTGCGTCCGTGCACGGCGGGCTATCAATGCACGGTTGGGACGCTCTGCAAACATCTGTGTAGGGCGTTCCAGAAAAGCTTTATTTACGCGTTGGCTTTGCCTAAAATATTGCACAACCGCGGTCGCGACGGGCGGGAAGAAGGAGCGGGTTCGCGGTGACCTTACTTCGGCGGAGACCAGACTTTGACCTAACACTCCGCGGTTACATTAACAAACTCTTATTTTGTTATCTCCATCGTTTTCTTTTCACACGGATACACGACCACTTTGGGGTCGCTCACGGAGGAAATGCGTAAACAAAAAGAAGTGTCTTTCCCTCCTTCGTTTTACTTTGTCGCGGACGTCCTCCAACTGTAAGGTCCGCGGCCGCGTCATTCGGGTAGGATGAGTGTTCGCGGATCGCAGAGTCCGCGCTGGGGTTTTTGAAGGGGTGGGCGATGACTCGGTGCTTTTTCGGAAATCGATATTGGCCCAAAAAATGGGGTGGGCGATGGCTCGGGGATGGGCGATGACTCGGGATATTACGGTGTGCAATGATTGAGAAAAAGTGTTTAAGATCAACATATAATTGCTTTCTGTGTCGTTAGTTAGTTGTATCGTCTGTGAAGTATGTCATATAAACTGTCTTGAATCATTTTACTGGAAGTCGTCTGTGGATTCATCTCCAAGATCTTCACTGACCGGCAACAGCAACAAACCTTTCATAACAACCTTAGCGTGAAGACGTCATCTCTGTCTTGTAAATCGCTGGCATATGCTGTTGAGCACGGTGACTGGCAGCGGTAAAAGAAATCCTCAAGTTTTCTTCATAAATAGTGTGGCTATTACTCGAGTAAATACAATATTTCTCGCAAAGACTGCAAGGGCTTTCTGGAGATTATCACGGCAGAAATAGTCCTTAAAAACTTTCAGCCTTTCCACTCTGGTGAAGAAGGAAGAGCAGCGGAGCTGTACAATGGAAAGTAATGGCCGGCCGCAAGCCAGCAAGCCAGAGTGGAAAGGATGCCGCCATCTATGAGTGACAACAGCAACTAGATACGGGACTTGCCGCCTTCGCCCATAGATGGCGGTAGGTGTCCATAGTTTGGTGTCTTCATTTCTTTGCGGGGGACAAGATTCTGGGGAAACTAGCCAGCTCTGCTGTAAAAAAACGTCAAACGGCCCACTTCGTACGTCGTTGTAGGTTTGCTTTTTTGTTTGTTTCCCCCGAAGGGCAAGCAGGTTATGAGCTGTGGTATTCCCTGGTTTTCACAGTAGAAGAAAACACAAAATAGGTAAGCATCTTGAATAGGCAAATAAAGTAAAAACTTTCAAGAAAGACTGGCGAACTCCGAATACACAACACAGGTGGAGAGCTGTGCTGTCCAGGTTTCCACAGCCCAGGAGGCTGGCAGAAATTTCTGGCTGATAGAGGTCGCAAGAGTCGCAAAATGGTGACAACCGAAGATCTCTTTTTGGAAAGGTTCGTACGTTCCCAACTGATGTACAGTGTGTCCCTGAATCTGACTGAAGATTTTTAAAGTGACTGCATAAATCGGCTTGGTGACGTATCGTGCTACGATTTACCACGGAGGTGCCTAAAGGTGGTGGAAACATTGCATCAATATTTCAAATAACATACTTACTTAAGAAAAAGTAAAAAAAAAAGGATAATTGTTTTTTACTACCTATGGCACCCGTCTGCTAACCACATACCCTCTGACTGGTGCAACAATTGACAGAGGGTGGCAGCGGCCTCTGCTGCGTAGAGAGCCTTCCCTACTGCGGCTTATGACAGCTCAGCAGCCGCCCGGTAGCACTAAAAGCAGACAACACATACCGTAGCTGAAATTACTCTACGAAAAATCGGTTTTATATGTTTCGTGTATATTAATGTGTTTTATTGGGAATGAAATAGAAATCATGCCCTGAGCATTCTAGCACCGAAGAAGCACGTGCCGTTTATAATTTAAAAAGGTTGTCTGCGTTTGGCGCGACCAGGTGGTTACTGAGCGCCATCAGCCGCTGGAGCTGCACTATCCGCTATCTGTCGGTTGTTGCGCAAGTGAGAGGGTAGACACTTAGCAAGAGGGTGCCATAGGTGCCCATCTGCTAACCGTGCAGCCCCCTGAGAAAATTAAGAATGTGGTTCTAGCGTAGTATGAAAGTTCATTCAACCAAGATTTAACCGTAGCCCACTTTACATCCCGAGCCCATAGGTAGAGGAGCAGCACTCACTCTGAAGCTGTGGAGAGTCCTCTCCGGCATGGAGGTGGAAGCGGATCATCTTGAGCCAATGCAGGTTGGTCTGACAGGTAGCCACCAGCTCAGCCTGAAACAGCAGTTGCCCTTCCCATTAATTTTCCCCCCCATTGTGGGGAAATTTCCTCTCAATTGACAAAGATCTGGGACAAGATCTTTGTATCTGCACAATCAGATGGGAAGGTTTTGGAAGGTGCATTTCATGTGCAGTTCCCACTTATGCATCGAGCAATTTTTCAAACATCTTCCTCCGCACGCCAGCAGGCTGGCATTCTTGATCGGAGAGAGCTTACGCTTTCTGATGCACTGAACAAGGTACAGTCGTATACCGCTACGACAAAGTTGACGGGATACACATAAAGGTTTCTACGGGGATGAGCTGAGCTTGTTGGGTATGATACATCGCGGGTGTAATGAACTGAACAAGGAAGGAAGGAGAAACAAACAACGCCACAGGTCGGTTGTCATTTTTGTTTCTCCTTCCTTCCTTGTTCAGCTGGCTCCACCCGTGTCATAAAAGTTTTGTTAACGCAGGAGCTCAGTTGTGAAATTGGCATGAAATTTACAAACAGCAATAATACAGTCTAAGCTCATTATAACAGACCTGGTTACAACAGACATTTGGATATAACATACCAATTTGTGAAGTTCGTTGGTGTTTCTCTATGCGCCATTGGCTCAACTTCATATCTGCATACAACATACTCCTTTTACAACAGACCAAAATCTTGGTCAAAACCAAGGTCTGTTATAACGAGCTTAGACTGTATACTAGTTGTCATCCATGAACAAGCTTTAACTCCAGAAATAACTTGGTCTGGAATGCTCGAGCTTTTATAAAGAAAGCGCAGAATGATGCAATTCTCGCAGTACGATCATGATTGCACCGCAACGTCATCATAATGGGCATTGACAAATGTTTTGATAATTTGGAAAGCGTCTAATACGTGAGATACGAGAGCTGGAGTTTATAGAGTCCTGCGAAGCATTGTCTTTATAATTTGAGCCATCGCGATCGCAAACGCTTTTAATGATTTGCTTGCGCTCATCTCTTCCTAAACGATCACATCTTTGTGGGCGTCAATGCCAACAAAAACGTGCCAACATTGCTCGCGATATCTGCCTTCTTTTTTTACATATACTGCAGTGGCAATAATATGCATTTCCTGTTTGAGGGAAAGAAAATTCATCTTCTCGCACGGCGGCACCAAGCTGTCGCATTTGCCAGCACTTTCTGATGAAAACAATCTGCTTCTGTTGTAAACCACGCAAAATTGTCATACAGAATCACATGCCAACAGGTACTGACCAACAACTATGCACTGCATGCACTGTCAACATGCCATCCTGTACGGATTTGACTTGGCTTGCTTGGACTTGAGCCCAAAACTGACAAAATCTGCTTTTGCAGGGAGCTAGGAGACTTTGGAATTCTCATGGAACACTTTGCTTTACAGTCGCCGATCGATTTTTCTGATGCTGATAAGTTGGACTTGTTCGATATTTTGGACCTAAAGGAGGAACCGTGACCTATTGACAGAAATAGTGCATATTCGGATGGCTGAAGTCCGAAAGTTTGATTTTTTGGACAAAATCCTCGTGAGCGATCAGCGGGAAACATTACAGAGAAGTGGCCATTTTGAATTCTAAGTTGGCTGCACATAAATTGGCTTGGTCTTGCAACGCTAATTGAGTACTGCTAAGTCCTACCACTAGGTAACGCTGTCCGCTCTTTAGACCTCCTACATTTCCTAGCGCTTTCTTTAATCGACAGGCAAACACAGCCTCGTCAGAAAGCAGCCCTTCAGAAACACGATCCTCATGCATGACCAGTCAACTGCAGCCGAGAGGAGGTGCGGGGGGGCTCACTCACGAATTTGGGAGGGGACATCTTGTCTCTGGGTGAGGGTGAGCGCTGGTGCTGTGGCTCCTGTCCCGCCAGCGCCATCTTGCGCAGCGTGTTGCGTATGAAGGCGTGGGCACGGCCGCTCTGGCTCAGCAGGTGCTGCAGGTCCTCCATGTCCGAGTCGGAGTCCAGCTCCGTGCCTCCTGACTGCAGGGCGGTCGGTGGAATGAGAGGACGGACAACCACCCTGGGCCGCATTCCTCACTTTCATGTGCACTCGAATTGCTCGCTAATTTGGCATACTTAAAAGAATGTCGCCACAAGATACTGATCTCAGAAAATGCATTTTCCCCCTCGCAGCATATACTCTCTCGCATTTTCCACCCACCTAGAATACAGCACTCGCGACATACAATACCCTATTAACTGAACTGTTCACGAACGCAGCCCAGGTATCTACTTTCCCGCAAAGATTCGGACCACCAACCATAGTGATGTACCGAAGAGCTCGACAAATGATAAGAAAGAGTGTGTCGACGAGCAAATGCCGCTTTCGCAGCAATGCTGATCACTGCGGAGATTAGTCACTGCATGCTTCATGGGGAACCAGTTATACGGGGCTCACTCATAAAGACAAACTGTTATTCAATCACTCAATCACTATGCCTCACCTCCCATTCATCTCCCACCTTTTCTGCGAAAGTTTTGCATATGGTATTGTCACATATAACAAATGATGAGGCAGCGAACAACTGGGGAACTAAACGTTTAATGGGGTGAACTTGTGCCCATAACAAAATAGAAGAAAATTAGCGATGCAGGCGTCGATGCCGGTGAAACAGCAGGATCGAACGTTGAGGAGAGACTGCCTTCGGCTTGCCACGCGGAGCCCCTTATGTAGATGCGTGGGCTTCTCGAACAATCGGCGTAGAACATTCTAATCCCGAATAAGCAACATGCTTCTCAAATTTGCCAGAACACGACATTTACAAAACAACAAAAAGGTGCATCCACAGCCAGGAATCAAACCTCAGCTCTTTCCGTGGGGAGCCAACCACGATAACCGCTAGGCCACGGGCGCGCCGCTTACTTGGCCAGCTGCGGCCGTGGCGATATACCCGTAAAGGCACCAAGGAAAATATTTAAAGAATTTCCCCATTTACAGACACATAAATTATTGAGCGGGTTAGTATACAAACAAATTCAAATTGCAGCTCCGAAGTTTTTACATCTGTTTATGTTTCACTACGTACTTGGCATGTGTGTGTCTTTTTGGAATGTTCTTTCAAGAAGAAAGATACTACGAACAATGATTGTGCAGCTAGAACATTAGAAATACTGCGGATGAAAGTGTCGAAACTGCTATATATAGTCACTACGAAGATGAGAATGGCTTCCCTTTCAGACAGCACGTGCACCTTGCCTTTCAGTGTGCTTTAGTTTCACCGCAGCTCACAGTTCAGAGCACGTGCAGAGAAAGCTCGCATAGCATTACCCAGGGGGTTCAATCGCCACCCCTGCCCGTTTCCATGTAGAATAGTGTTGTACCGGCGTGTGGTCGTGTATCACTACTGCGTGATGCACGTAGTGACCCCGGGCTAGCGGTGGTAGTGAAGTGGTTAAATTTCTTATTTACGGCTTAAGCTGCATCGCCATACCTCAAAGGCGAAAAGCGACCTAACGCTGTCTAGGCACGGATGTCAAGTTCGGTTTGGCTCACGAGATGGCAAAAAGTCACAAAAGGTAGAAAGCTCGCGCTGGACTACTGAAACTGCCCCTAGCTGCCATTCCCATCCATAGTCAGTGGCCACTGGTCAGTGCCTAGAGCCACTGAAGACATGGGCAAGCTTTCATGGCATCACGTCCTTGTCCCCTCGGTCGTCTTTGACACTCAATCGAGAACCGGTCTAAGAGGGGCAGGACGTGCGCACCCACCTTGGCCGTGGGGCGTGTCCTGTGTGGGGACCTGCGTGGGATGTCCCTCCTGGGAGGCCCCAGTGAGGCCGTGTCATCCGAGGGGCTTCCAATGAAGGCCCAGTAGTCGTCCCCAAAATCCAGCAGCTTCTTCACCTGGTCCTCGTCTGCCGTCTGCTCGCTGTACGGCTCGCTGAAGTATGGCGGGTCCTACGGGGCAGGATGCGCGCCACCGGCTTTGTTAGTATGGAGAACCAACGGCGGGAGCACGGTCACATTCGGGCTGCCGTAACATTCCACGCACTGTATGGCACGCATCTTTAAAACTGGGTTCCAAAGAACTAGAATTTCTGAAAAGCAGATGTACAACCTCAGTTTTCAGTCAGGAGGAATTCCTCTCAGTGTCATTCCTCCCTACCCAAACAACGAGGGTAGCGAAAGAGGCAAAGTTGGGGAGCTGGGCACTGCATGATCTCCATTCGTAGTCGAATGAATGTTGTGGGAGAAGCCAGAAAAAGTACAGAGTGAGAACTGTACATCCACCTCCACTGGGCGTTCACATTCCCGCAAGTGCAGTGCTCCTTTGTAGTGGACAGAATACGAAGCTAAGCGACGTATCGACGCACCACTCTAAACTGAACACTCGCACCCTGGCAACTGTAGCATCGTTAATAATGCTCGTTGGTAGCTTCCGGCTGGCTTCTCTGTTGCGGGGATGAGGGGAGGGAAGATGAGAATGAGAGACTGGGGCGAAAATGTCAATGAGGGTGAAGGTCAATGAGGAAGGACGTTCAAACTCTCATGTTTGAATGCAGGAATGGGAGAGAGAAAGATTTTTCGCTAATATTTCAAGGTGGCTAGGGGGTTCCTCGTGATCGCAAATGGTCCTAACGCCTGTTCCCCAGTAAATCATCAGAATAGACCAATCTCCCTAAGCGTTTCACACATGCGTGACGCTCTCCTACCTGCTGTTAACAGGCAGGCGACGGTGTACGAGGCAACTCGTGCCGTCGCGTGCTCCGCTCGTGCCGACCCGCAGAAAGGCTACTGTTCCCACCGAGCGTGCCGGCAGCAGTGGCGTAACGTAACATGCTGCCAAGATTTCAAGATGGATGGGACGTCATCGTGGCTTTGCATTATTGAGATTCATTAACCCCTTAATGGTTGATCTTTTCCCGAAAAATGTCTTTTAGTGGTATGGTTTTGTTGCCAAAGGAATAGTATAAAGAAAGATCAATGTGCATTTTTTTTTTTAATCTAATTATCTAGCACGCATTTATACAGTGTTTGCAGGCTGTTTAGGTTGAGGAGCATCAAATAGAAATATTAAAGGCGGAAAGTTGTCACATCTTTTCCATTGCTTCATTTTGGCACGTCCGCTTCCGCGATGTTCTAGCAGCTTTAGATTCCGAACCGGAGGTATTATACAGATCATCGTTGTCGGATAATGAGCTCTCATCCTCCAAATTCCCAAGAAGCATCGCAAGTCTCAATCAGAAGAGCCAGGGCTCCCACTGGCACTGCCACCCGAGTGGCCGGTGTGCAAAATGAGCATCCAGTGCTTGAAGCGTTTTATTTGGAAACTATAAGTAGCTTAGCAAAGCGAAACACAGTGCAGATATAACGTTTATAGTTCACCAAAGACATACTAAGTAGCATATACTTAGTATGTAAACATATTTTATATGTTTTACTAAGATACATACCCTACTAACTAAGTAGCAATGCCTCCTGCGGTGCTTGCAGCTTTGCATTTAGGAGGTCACTTTCAAATGTGTAATTGTCACCGAACACCGAACCTCAATAAATGACAAACATCCATAGAACTGGGAACACAAATAATCTTCATTTCAATAAAAAAAAAGCTTTCAGAAATGAATAGACATAAAAAAAATCTTGAGTGTCATTCCTTTCTCATTTCATTGACGAAATGAGACGTCACTTATCTCACGATGTGACATTGCAAGGGCTCCTGAAGTGTTTACAACCCCATTAAGGGGGCCATTAAATTATTTTCCAACTCCAACTAAACAGTTCCCCAATAAATTCTGATTGTTCGTAGAACCCAGAAAGGGAATTCGAGTCAGCCTTCCTCATCTCAACAGGGAAACGAGCAGCCATGTGTGCCCTGACAGTCTGTCTGCCAGACTGCCAAAAGCACATCACTACCTGCTCTTTGGGTTCGTGGCCAGAGAGACCTGCACAGTGTTCTGGCACTGGCTCGTGCTACCAAGGTCTTTCACAGTTGCGTGCCTGGGTCGGCACCCATTGTAGCTAGGCTATAGATTTTCCAGTGTTTATAAAAAAAAAATTGGTTAATGTTTTTCCATGTTTAGCTATGTTAAAAAAAATCTGTGTATTTCAGCGGTTTGTTTTGTGCACCGCAAGAGAGCATGCTGCCTCCTTAAAACAGTCACCTTCTGGACATTTGGCTGTGCATTGCAGCTGACGTGTGTGTACACCAGTGTTCAATGACATTTCTATTGTTGGGTGACACTGCAAAAAGACTACCAGGTAATCCACGAAGCGGCGTATGTTACAAAAACAAAGGGTGCATATAAGTGTATCAGTGAACCCTCCTTGATCCTGACAGATAAAAAGCATTTATTTTTTGATGAAGAGTGGGCACTTAGAAAATGATGTGGAAAATGACGTGGGGTGTTTTGGAGTGTATTTAAAACAGTGTTTTTCTAAATAAAAAATTCAGTTGCAAGTGTATCTAGTGTCGTCTCTTTGTGCACTTTTTGTCGACTCTGTCCCAGTTTTTGGCGCTTTTCTTTCCGTACAATGACATGACTTAGAGCCAGAAATGTAGATGGCACTGGCAGTTCTGAGAGGTCATGTGACCCTGTCCCGCACCTGATAATCGTCCCAGACTTGATCCGAGACCGAGCTCTGCTCCTCCACGTGTGCCAGGGTCGGCGTCCTGGCAGACAGGTGGCCCTTGGGAGACGGCGTTACCGCCACCCCCAGGCAGTCCTGGTGACCCAACAGACGCACGTGTCAGGCACGATAAGCAATGCTCACTGTCCTCGGTGGAACCAACAGAGGCAAGGCCCCAAAGTACCTGTCCACCAAGACACGAGTACCCAGACAAATTTTCTCTTCGTGTGGATTATCAAATCAAATCAAATCAGTTTATTTTCACCATGCACAACTACAGATGAAGGAGCTGTGGAAAAAAAGCTGCGGCATTGCAGCTTGATGAGTCCACAGACCCTTAATATTGGCAGCTAAGCAGCATCGTGCTAAAGTATAAAAAAAATTACCGCATCTCCACGTGGTGAATGATGTTGATTGGGGCAAAGCTCTGGTGGTGCTGATGATACTGATTTTGTTCATAGGTAGTGCTGATGGTGCCGATTTTTTTTTTTTTATTGCTCATAGGTAGTGCTGAGTTCCGGGTTGCGTTGGTATGGAATGCATGGTATAGAATGGGGTTATATACGCATTTGAGCATTTGACCGCAGCGCCCTCTCCTGTATAGATGTTGAGTGGCTACATGCAACGCTTCATCCATAACATCCCCAGCTCTTAAGTTACTACCACATCTAAGAGTCCCCTACTCATCCCGCAGTCGTGGCCGAGTGGTTAAGGCGATGGACTAGAAATCCATTGGGGTCTCCCCACACAGGTTCGAATCCTGTCGACTGCGGTAACATTTTTTTCTTTTTTTAAGAAGACAGATGGGATGGCAATCGATGTGAGCACAGACGCCGGACGGACAAGGCTAGACCCTAAGGAGCTTCATAAAAAACGAAAAAAGAAATGTCATCTTAAAGGGCAACCCCACTCAATTCCGAAGATTTCGAGATAATGACTGATTTCGCATTAAAAAGCCCCAGTAAAAGCCACTACGTCATTTGCTTCGTGAAAAATGGGATATATATTTTTAAACCTAATTTTAAACACAAACAGATATCGAAACTGAAACTTCGGCTCCGTCTGGCAAAATTGGCCTCGGGCCGCCGAGAACATGGCTATCACGCGGTACGAGATGTCATGTGATCCTCTACGCAACGACAGGCAGGAGGGGCAGGCGTGTGCCAGGAGCAAGTGTCATCTGCACAGTGCTCTTCACCATGTTTTAGCGTTTAAGCCCCCCCTCCCCCCCGCCTCCAGTTTTTCAAAAATGTGAAACTTGTGTGCATGATAACAACCAACTTCAAGATGACCTAGTAACAACTAACAAACGGTGCAGACAGTGGTTGATGCCATTTAAAAATCATAAATTTCAAACTAATTCACCTCAGTTAAAAAAGTCACTCCTACCCTTCCAATATTATTTGGACTCTGATTTCTAGGTATAATGACTAACATCAGACCAGACATTTCTTCGTCGTCATGCCGTTATTGGCGGGTCGTTTTGGCCTCCCCACTCTTCCCTCTCTGCGCAGTGAAGACAATGGAAACACCAGACTTCTCTCTCGTCGTGCCATAAGGGCAGAAAAGAGTTTTTACATCTACACCGCGATGACAGACAACAAACGGCGACAGCAAAATCCCTGCAAAATGTCATCCGTAAAGCTATAGCATTAATATTGGCTGTCTCGTTGGCATTTCCTAAAGGCATTCTAAACGCGTAGCATTTAGAAGGCCTCTTCATGCTCCTCCTTCTGCGGGTCACTGAAGGACATATTGCGAGGAATTTGTGAATCTACGAAGTTGTCGCAGTGCCACACAATGTCACAATGTGACGTGATGTCGGGATGAGCCAGGACACGACACTGTAAGGTAGTGCCACCGTGACGTCATCTAGGCTAAACCCCAGCGAGGATACTAAAGCCTCGGGAGCTGGCCCTAAAAATGAATGCATTGAATACAATTCTTAAGTAAATGTCCCAAGCGAGCCCCACAGCTTCCACCCCGGCCAGGCGCAAGAGAGGCTCACCTGGTAGTTGTCGGTGCCCGAGGAGGAGGAGATGTTGTGCAGGGAGCCGCCCGTGGAGCGAGAGGTCGCCGAGGAGCGTCGCACCCTGCGGCCGCTGCCGCCACCCTCCTGGCTGCTGGGCCGCTTCTGGGCGGACGACGCCCCCGACGGGGCCCCCTCCGAGCTGGAGCCTGACCGCAGGCCCCCCCGCAGGCCCCGGGTGCGGCGCTGCCGCCGCTCTGGAGACGGCGGGTCCTTCTGCACCCCGACCGAGCAGGTGCGGGGCCGGCCGCTGGGGACACACGCGTGTGGCGGAGGTTAGCGTCGCAAGGACCCTCCAAGTGTGCGTTCTTGAACTCGGTTCCTAGGGTTCCCTGGGGTAGCCTCGTGGCTTCCCCAGGCTCCCAAATTTCCTCACCCGTCTCTGCCCCCGAGTAAGCATTTTTCCAGTTAAACCGCCATTTAGGAAGATCCGAGCCACACATTTGTGCGTAACTATGAGCCAAGCGCTCCGTAGCGTAGGCATTATTGTTTACAAAGCTCATAAACTTCTGCGCCGCTTTAATGTACCAATGACTACACCACGAAGGCTTCCTTGGCTGTTGGCTGAGCCAGATAAGTGCTCCTCGAGATAGAAAAGTTTTAGAACTTTTTGATCTTACACGGACGCCAAACTCCCAGAAAATGTCTTTGTTTTAAGTGCCTGGGCCCATCACAAAACTTCCTTTGAAAAAAGAATTTTTCGATGGAATATTTACGTAGCGAGACTCGTTCACCTTTGGAAGCAATTCCGAAATGTGCTTCTGTTTCGACGTACCGGTCCAGAAGTAGGAGCATGTTAGGAAATCACTCGGATAAGTCTCAAAAGAAACGTTAGAACTTAATTTTTTTGGGGGAAAGTTTACTTTATGATTAGGTGTCCTATACAGGCAGTTAAAAAACATGCTTTTGGGAGTTGAGAGTCCTCCCACTAAAGTTAATTCCAACAATTAAAAAAAAAAAGGTGTTTTTTACTCTTTAGAGACACTCAATGGGCTCTCGTTCTCTTTGCACTGCTTTTAATAACTCTTGTGGACAAATTACATATTGTAATAACCAGCATGACCAAACCCAAAACTACATATTGTTTTATTTATTTATCTATTAGTACCTTGAAAGCTATCGTACAAGGCATTATACAAGGGAAGGGCAGCTCATATTTGTAGGACAATAAAAAAGCATAAACACTCATGAACAACAAAACGAAAAAGCACCAACAAAACATAAAAAATTACCAAAAGTTCAAACACACTTAGATTAAAAAAAACTAGACCCCTGTGGATTCCAAAAATTCGCCTAAAACATTTTTTTGGACATGTCCATATTGTTAGTTGTGACTATGTTGTCGGATAAAGCCTTCGATTCAATTATTGTGAAAGGTATGGAAGAGTTAGCGTAAGAAGGGGTGGACACATATATCGGTTGTATTTTACAGTTGTTATCTCGGAAAAAAATGAAGTGGGAGGAGGAAATAGTTTATTTTTAATTGTTGGGTTAAGGTGGTGAATCTTGTAAAACAATGTCAAACGAAATATTTTCACCTTAAGATGAGTTCAGGGAGGTTCGCTCGTTTACGCTATTCGGACATGCTTGTGTAATAAGAATAATCGGGATAAGGTGCAAAAACGCAAATCATGACACTACCGTACACTTAGCAATTCACATTTTTGTGCTGCCAGCTTGAGCCAGTTGCATGAGTGGTGACTTACATGCTCCAAACCTTTTGGCAGTTTACACATTAATTGGTTTTCGATGAAACTCAGCCAGTTTCCAATTGGAGTCATATGTTTATTTTCACTAATTAAAAAGTTAATGAACAGGTTTTAGTTAATTATTCGACTTCCAGTGACGATTATCCCCCTATATCATGTCTTTCTGGTTGTATAACTCACCTGCAAAGAGAGCACTAGTGTAGCTTTCGCAGATTTTTTTAAAACATATCTGTAAAGCCTAAAAAAACAATATTCTTACATTTCGTAAGCTCTCCCATAAGTTTGCGTTAAACATCACTATAGCCATGAGCGAAAACTAAAGCAGAAACTATGAGCAGAACACCATTTTGATGAGCCAACTGGTTCTACAAGATATGGATGAGCCACAAGTTCCCATTATGCACCAAAATTACCTAGCAATACGAGAGAAAATTTCAAAAATAGCCATATTTCGCCCATTAAAAAACACAATTAGGAGAGTTGTTTTCAAAATGCGAATAATTACTCATTTTTAGGTTTTTGCATTCACTCCATAGATGTTTTTAAAGTGTTTTTGTGTTCGTGGGTTAGATGTGGTTCGTGTTTAAGTTACGTAAAACTTCCTTTATATGCCCGTTTTATTTGGTTCGTCATCAGGCAGCCCATTGTAACCCTTACATTCGAGTTGCCTGGGCCTTTGCGGGAATATTTTGTATCCAATGATAAGAAATGCTGACTGCCTGAAGAAAGAGACGCGATGTCCCAAAGTATGTCCCGTCTGCCTAGCATGTGAGTGGGAGCCCACATGTGACCGGCGAGTCTCTGGCAAGCACCCAAGGAGAGCTCACCTCGGGACCTTGGACGAGGAGCAGGTGGCCAGCAGCACGTTGAGGGCAGTCTCCGAAGTGGAGTGGGAGGACAGCTGGAGCGCTCCAGGCTGGCCCACCTCGGTCACGCTCCAGGGCCGCTCGCGCAAGCGCTTCTTGCGGCCCCCGCCATTCCGCAGGACCACCCGTGGCACAAAGTCGCCCTCAGACAGCGCTGAGCTGGCACCCACCTGGGCACAAACCACGGGGTTGCCTCGGTTAAAGGATTCGCCACTACGGTGCAGGAAGCGCGAAAAACGCCTCCGGTTGTGCACACTGTGCCACCGCTTTCGCAGTCTGCGTAAACTGGGAACTAGATCCTTATACTAGTTCGACCCAAGCAAGTATAAGCATGCGCAGTATGGGATACCTATCGATGTCACCTCCGTAAAGCGGTTGAATTGGTTGAAGGTTCATTTAGTATGACTACATCATGCTTACCTCACTCAACTCCCAGGCTAATCTTCCAAACTTTGAACTGGAATACAAAATTACCAGAATGTCTCTCTTTCGCAAATTTGATCAAACCTCACTTGGCAACAGTGCCCGACAACAGCGTTTTGTGCTGCATTGACCTCTAGAAAGCCGTTTATCCCCTCCTGTACTATACTGTGCATCTCCATTCGTTTTCTATTCGGACAGCAAAGGATCGGAATGATCTATTGATGCCTTGCTTCAAGCTGACCCCCATTCATTTCAAGACAATCGGCGAACAAGTGTCTGTCATTTATTCATTTCAGAGTTTTATTCTTTCTGTGTGAACTAAAGTCATCTGCTGGCGCAATAACCCTGATGTAATCACCTAATAGCTGGATATTTCACTTGTAATAAATGAACAAACAACTAAATGTTCCACAGAAAAGGCCTATTCTCACAGACACCATAAAACTGTTTGACTAGGGTGTGCAAAGCATACGGAACAAATTGGGCAGAACAAGCTGGACTGAAAAACGTTGGTACATGACCTCGCACGACTCCCTTCGCACAACAACTTGGTCAAGCCAGCTTTTGCTAGCCACAAGCTGTCTGTTAGTTTCCGATAGACCGATCTCACCGGCCAGTTTGACTACGCCACCGCTGCCGCAATGCAGCGAGGGAACTTTAGTCTTTCTGCACGTGCGACAACCACGCTGGAGCTCTTCGCGTGTAGAGCACGAGAGGGCACAAGCCCTCGCGTGCACGGCCGTCTGCCTCCTGTGAACTAAAGTTATGGCGGTTTTACGCATTCGCCCAATGCTTAGTGAGATCGGTCTATTCCGGTGCCCCTGGCTAAAACACTGGTATGCTGGACCTGAGTGCATCCTGTATGCTACATGTTCATTTGTCAATTTATGATTTAATAGATGTTCCTAAATATATGTGGCACCCACATCGTCTTCTCTGCACATTACAGCAATCCAATGCGTGGCACATGAAAGAGCGCCTATGAATAAAAGTAAAGTTAAACATATTGTAATCCTACAAAAAAAGTGGGGAGGCACAGAGTGTGAAGTGGAAACACATAGACTGATCTCCTTAACCTAGTGTAATTATTGTGATTAATTACTAATAATTAATTAGCCAGTCTCACAAAATTAATCTAAATTTAGCAGCCGTGTAACGGTTTTTCGTGATGCTCTTTCGTAATCTTATAACCATCACATGGATGCCAACCCTATAACCCCGTGTCAAAAGAGGTTCAGTTGGTGTACCATTTTTTAATTTCATAATGGCAGTAACAAAACAGACTATCAACTGTGTGTTGTAGCTGCTCTTTTTTCTTCATATTCTGCACCCACAAGGATAAAGAGAATAGATTGCACCATTTATGAAAAGCATCAATGTCAGCCTCAAGGGTACATTTCCATGGTTTCACAATTCTCTGCACGGTGAAATCCAGAAGGCCAAGAGGCAAACTTTCTGTGAAAGGTCTACTTAAATTATGTGAACAAGTAGAATTTTGTTTCTACTCTCACTGAGCTTACAATCACAACATTAAAGTAATACAAACCTACTCTAATAAGTACCATGTAACTGCTATGGCCCACTTGTGAACTAAGCCTTCAGAAGAATAAACTTTGACAATCTGTACAGATTTAATCTGCTCTTCAGATACACAGCATGCCCTTAATCACATTGAACTATAAACCTCCGGATCTCTCGGCGACTCCAACTTTTATGGTGGTCTGTACTACAGATATAATACCAATGGGCCACTGCAGGAGCCAACCCAACAACACTAAAGGTGTATTTGCCAGGACAAGGACAGGGGGGTTCTAGGGCCTTTGCACCACAAAGGCAGTACAAACTATGACGTCGGCACAACCTCCATACCAGAGTCTAAAGGTTACTGTTATAGCGTGACAAAGGTATATCTTCCCGCTAAATTTAGCGGACGGTGGACACATGACATCAATCCAGGTCAGGTGGGTTGGTGTAACGTCACTTACGTGGTCACCCAACAGTGCAACGTGTGTTGCTACGTAACACCGCGACATTGAGTTATGAGGTCAAGCGACATTTAGACTACGACGTCCAGTTACGTTCCATTCAAGCAATCCGGCTCACCTGCACCACAGTCTCGACGGAGCCCGTGCCGGACTTGCTGAGCAGCGACACGCTGCGCGAGGTGTCCAGCCCCTCGCTGCTGGGCGAGGAGTCGGCCCCGTCAGACTCGTGGCAGTCCTCCGACTCGTCGTTGGTGGTGTACTCTCCGCTGGCGTCGCACGAGCTGTCCACAGGCCCCTCCTCCTCCTCCTCCCGGGCGGCCGTCACGGGGGCCTCGCACGTCTCCAGCCACTCCTGCACTCTGGCCGACGAGCGGCCGGATCTCTGGCCCTCCTCCCCCGGCGGCGGATCTTCCTCGCAGGGCCTGCGGGTGCGTTCGACAAAAGCAACCGCTTTGTAGGGGAGCTCCGCACAAGCCCCTCTCGCTTGCATTGGACCGACCGCGTGACATCACGCGATGCGGGAAAATAGAAGTCGTATGACCCGATATCACATGACGGTGTCGCGCGACTTGCTTTTGTTGGGTCTTGTTGCGCATATCCCTTTGCCAAATTTAGCGGAAAAATTATTGCAGCCTCAGATAACACAAATGCGCAATGTAATGGCGTCACGTCGCAGGATGTGAGCATTTCCCCACTAAATTTAGCGGGGAAACGCCATCGCTAACTTGCAAGAGAAAGTGCCGCTCTATAAAAAAAACCTCGTCGAGTGCTGCTGCACCTTCACTGCCTTTGCAAAACGTCTTAGTCGAGCGATTGTATTTTAATGGTATCAACGCTAATGGAGTCGTGCCCCGCTCCATATGGCGAGCAAGTTCGTCTGCCCGTCGTGGAGAGCTATGGCGACGTGACGGTACCAAGCTACGGTCGAAGGATTGCTCCGGGCGAGCCACAACGCTGCGGTGAGTGAACAAGGGGCAGGGCAATGGCGACCTCACCTTTTCTGTAAGATATCTACTTGTTTCTTAGGAACGAGGATGCGGGCTTCGAGAAAGAAGAAAGGAAATGCCTCGAGAGGGCTCATTGTTTCTGTGGACTGTAACAAAGAACGAAGACACCGAAATGTTGTTTACCCTTCAAGGAGAGTGGCAACGGCAGACCTTGGTCACACGCATGACCCATTCCTCTCACTTTTTCCTGCATCTCCTCTCTCGAGCATGGCAGAGATGCGTTTTGGTTCTCACATTCGATTCAATAAGACGAGGTTTTGCTTAGCCTCACAGTTCTGTGCAGGAGTGCAAAAGCTCTAGTACTTCTATAGAATTGGAATAAATTAAACGAAAACCTTTAGTAATGCTGCAACCATAAAGCATAAAGACAAAAAAACCTCAAGAATGCAATTTTAACCGCGAAAAATGGCCAGCTCGAGCTTTCAAGTGACTCTGCGCGGCCAAGGAATGGCAAAAGGCAAGCGGCGCGTGCCGGAGGCACAACGCAAGGCAGAGACGGTAGGCACCCTGTCAGGCTTGGCATCTGACATCTGGCCAGCCTCACCCGTTCTGGTCAGAGAAGGCGGCCTCCTCGAGGGAGGTCATCTTGTAGAAGTCGGCGTTGCCGGACTGCACCAGCGGGGAGGCCTGGTACTCCTCCTCCTCCTCCTCAGGCGTGAGGAAAGGCAGGGTGCCCGGCCCGTCCGAGGGCAGCCCATCTCGGTACTCCCGGAACAAAGACGACTCCGGGCTGTAGCTGTACACCCGGATGCAGTCCTCGCTCGACAGCTGCGTAGAGCTCTCGCTCGAGTAGCCCACATCGTGAAGGATCTCCAGCCGCCGGCCCTTGCATGACACCTGCGCATTGCCAGCACACCACGGTTCCTTAGTTTTTACAAACGATTACCACGAGAGACCAAGCCCCCGCAAAAGTCGGGGACAGTCACGAAAAAATGACGACAAGCACTCGTTAGGTCCGAGAGCAAAAAAAGTCCAAGGGGCATGCAGTAGGATGGGCCCTCGCTCGATCCAGTGTGAAGATACAGGAGCAGTACGGGGGTCTGGCGGGATGCTTCGTATTTAAAGAGGCAACACCGCTCCCGTCAAACCAACTTTGTGCCGGAGCTGTCCCGATGCGATGCTTCCACCACCTTCAGGTGCCTCTGTGGTAAATCGTAGCACGATACGTCATTGAGCCAATTTATGCGGTCACTTTAAGGGCTTATCCCAGATGTGGAGGCGTGTGGTAGTATGTCCAGCTAGCATGCAGTAAAGACAGCCATTATCTTCACCATCCTGCCCTTGACTCCATGCCAGCCAAGTTTCCCATAAAACTGTTTTAAGGTCACAAAAAGTACACAGAAGTCTCGTCTGCTCCATCTCATCTTCCAATGGCCTATGGCCGATGCTACCGGCCGCCTTGTCTAGGTGCCAGTCGGCTAGAAGCTGGGTGGCATATTGCTCCGACATGTGTATCATTAGCACGCCGATCCGATATTCGTGTTGGAGCAATTTTCCACACAATTTCTAGCTGGCTCACGACGGGACCAGTTGCCCCGTAGCTTTGATTTGTTACAGTGTGAGACCAAGCTCTTCCCTCCTAGGGGATAGACCCGACGACATAGCAAAGAGGCGCCCACCTTGAGCTCTGTGATGGCTGTGCTGCCCACCATGACCCCCTTCTCGAGGTGGGTGGGGGGGCTCGGAAGTGCGTGGAGGACCTCCTCATGCTCGGACTCCATCCCGTCGTGGTCCGTCGGAAGAGGTGGGTCCAGAGGCGGATGCATCATGGCGGAGCCGGCCCCGTCGCAGCTGAGGCGCGGCTGCTTGGTCCTCGGCTCGTCCCCGTAGCCCACCTCGCTCCCAGCGTCCCAGTCCAAAGCGCCCTGCGGGGGTGGGCAGGATTTTACACAAACAGGACCAACGAAGCTAGATCGAGAAAAAAGATGCGAGCATGTCATGCACGAAAAGTGCCGGCCAAGGAAACACTGGTCGGGGCTGCACCTGCTCTTTCTGTTCAGTCACATGCGACAGCAATGCAGAACTCCAAATATCTGAGAGGCAATAAAATGCACAAGGGCTTCCACTGTGACACCATGCAAACAAGTCCATGCATCTTTCCCAAGATTATCGGTAGCAAAAGCACCTCATCTGATGAGAATCCTCATCATATAAAAATCAGGAATAAAACGGTTCTCAAAGGCTAATCTATGGTTGGAAAACCACATGCTGTAGCCTCGGGTAAAATAACTAAACCCACAAACTCTCCGTTGAATCTCTCAAACATGCACGACTTTAGTCTCCCCAGCCAATTTCTTTTTTTTTTCTTCCTAAAAGGTCATACAGAAGGGATTCCGTCACTCCTCCGTCGACGAAGAAAAGGGAAAAAATTAACTATTTTCAGCCCCGGTGAAGAACATGTGGCTATACCCAGGGCAACTTTCCGTGGTTTTCCTGAGGAGAGGAGATCATGCGTGCAGCTTTAGTGGAAGCTCAGTCAGGGAGAGGGCACGCGAGCCCGTACCTTTGACAGCATTACCAGAGAAAGTTGCCCCCGAGCCAATCTAGAAGCTGCTGCCTCTAGAGAGTAATGCAGACTCTGGCTCACCACTTGGGAGCCGTGCAAGAGCTGCTCAAGCAGGCACTGCCACTCGAGGGAGCGGAGCCAGAGCGCATGCCATCGCTTCTCGAGGTTGCTGGCCACCCGCCGGATCCGCTGGGCGTCGTTGGGGAAGAACGGCGTCGGCCGACGGTCGCCCCTCGCTCCGTCGCCACCACCGGGAGGACCACGGTCGCCCTCTGTCGTCTGCCTCGGATCTTCCGCAGAGTCTGGGGGCACACCCGTGCAGAGCGCTTCGCACTGCCTCAGCAGGGACTTGACTAGGCGGCTGCGGGACTCTATCTCCTGCTGCAACGCCTGCAATGCAGGGGAGGAAACAACGTCAACATCGTCGCACAGTTCCCACATTGGCCCATTCAACCCACCAGGCATGGCCAGTAACGATAATTTTTTTTTTTTCTCCGAAAAATATTTTCCAGTAGTCGGGTTTTCTTTACAAAGTAGTAGCACAAGAAAAGGGTTGATGCTCAGGTTTTTCTTAATTAACTTGCAGCTCTGGCACTAACACCAGAGCGGCCTGTGGGTGCAGTGGGCCTCATGCCCATCTAACTTGAAAACTATAAATACCGTAGCCCAGCAAAGTGAAACACCGTGCAAATGTAACATTTATAGTTCACCAGAGACGTAGCAAAGAGCAACACCTCCCTCGGTGTGTGCAGTTTCGCATTCAGGTGGGCACTTCCAAATGTGCAATCAATGCCGTACATGTTTTAGGTGACGACCATAAAAGGGTTAAGAGTCAAATATTGTCAGTAAGCTTAAGACAAAAATATTTGCAACGACTGCCACTCTTTCTTACGAGCATACCAGCTGCCAGCCCTGGAAGAGGCGGGAGGACAGAAGTGAAGCACTGCGCCACAGGTGCGAAAAGAAAAGGTGGGTTTTACGTCATGAGGTGGCTAAGGCCAGAATGTTTTCACCAAACATTTCTATGCAAGAAAGAAGACTCCGCCCAGGCCCTGAGGTCTATAACCAATGCGGTAGTTCATGTTTTTCTACAAAGAATCACTGGTAGTAGTAGTCACATTTGTGTTAGTACTAGTAGTCACATTCATGTTAGTTATATCACAGATTCTGTATTGTTGACAGGAAGGCACGCACACTCGTACAAAGAAGGAAAACGAAAATATTGATGTTGTGACTGGCAATGAAACACAAGTGCTCGCCAGAGCAACAGATGGCTGGGAGATAAGAGAACAGTGTTCTTCTATAATCACATAAAAAACCTGTGCATTGCCAGAAAAGCCCCGACTTGGACAGAATCTAGCACTAACAGCTGGGGTAAGAGGCCAAAGTTTCAGAACTTTGCATAATCTGGTTCAAAGGTTCTATGCTATTTCGGGAAATTTTCTATGTGAGAATATGGAGCCCGTTCCCAGGTAGCGGACAGCTATAGTAGTGTCTGTCATCTTCATGTAATTGTGGGCATCGGTGGCCGCAATTTCATTAGAAATTTCTTAAAGTGTCTCATTACAGTTTAAATCAGATAAGGGTGGGTCTGAAACTTGGACATGTTATCCCAACCTCTAGTGCTATATTCTGGTGCTGTGCAATGCACAATCAATTTTTGCAATGTGAAAAACACGGTTCACCTTTCTCCCGACACTCCATGTATTAAATCACAGTCGCGTCTGACAAACGTACGTCGCCGCAAAAATTCCCTTGCTGCTGAGTATGACGTACGGCTGCGTTCGGCAAGCCGTCACGCTTACTGAGCACTCCCGATAAATACTCCAGCGTCACGTACTGCCCGAGTAAGAGCTCGCAGTTCTATCGTCCAGGTCGAACTCCAGTACAAGCTGCGGGTATGGAACTCAACAGGTCAATCCAACCTTTATGAAATCATGGTTCCAGAGGGCTGTAGGATGAAATGGTCCCTGTCGAAATGGCCCTGGGCAGAACGGTCCCAGACAGGTAGTTTTTGACACCTTGGGTGTCCTTAGAGTTTGAGAGAATTGCTACTCTGAAGCTTTATTAAACAGATGTGAAATGTATGTTCTAATGTATTCTAGGTTTTTTGTGATATATTTTATACTCATTTACGAGGTAAAAACGGCAGTGAGGAGCTACAGTTTTACCGCCTCCAGCACCAGCTTCCTGTCTTCCACAGCAAGTCGGCGTGGAGCACCTGCTGAAGGCCAGGCGTTTGAAAGATACACCTTGCCATTCTCAGCTCAAAAGTCCCTTAAATTTCTAATTATCGCACGCACGTCTTTATGACTCCTGCTCACATAAGTATAATCACTGTAAAAAGCTGGAGCCTGCAAATCACTACACGAAAACATGTGCATAGACTAAAAGTACAAGGCCTGTGCTTGCGCTTGATTGGGCTAGATGGTGATTACATAAAATAAAGTCGGTGAACGCCATTTGTATGTTTTGTTTTAAAAACTGCATGATTGGTCCTCTCACCTCGTAGCACCGGCTGCACTCTTACTTTTGTAAAATGCAGTATAGGTGTGGAATGAAAGTAGTCACATTTTGTGAAAGTATATTTTTCAATTCGAATTTGCGCAATGAAGCTGCAAGGAAATAAATGCACATATAAGGAATCAAAGAGGCTATCATGCTCATAGTCATGCCGCTTATGTGAAATACATTATTCATTAATACATTATTATTATTACATATAATACATTATTCGATACATGCACAATTATATATTATTTCTATATTATACTTTTCTGCTACTGGCATGCAGTGTGTTTTAAACTAAATATATAAACTTTAAAATTATTATTGTTTCATAACCTATAATAGGTATTCGGTACAACATTTTCTTTTCTCCATGTTCACATTACATCAAATACAGACAGTCAACTAACCTCCGAAGTGAAAGCAAACTACGCCGCAAAATTTACCTGGGACCATTTTGTCTGGGTTGGCACTTGCGACCAATTTTTCCGCAACTAATCTGTCCGGGACCAATTTGCCCGGGACCAATTTGTCTGGGACCATTTTGTCTAGGACAATTTTCTGCGGATCCCGCTCCAAAGGTCATGGTTCCAAAGCACACGTTCGCGTTCCATGGGTTCACCGGTGACCATGAAAGGCTTTTAAGCAAGAGGCTCCTGCCAGCGCTCGTGGTTTGCACGAGTGCGCGTTCTCCGCCCAGACACCTTGAACGGTCGATTTCCAAAAGCGGGGTCCATAGCACCTGAGCGAATGACGTTTTAACGAACAGCGACGTTTGAGCGAATCGACATATTAGCAAATAACGGGGGCGCGCGTTAACCCATCCGCCGCGCTGCGCTTACGCCGCCGCGCTGCGCTTACGCCGCCGCGCTGCGCTTACGCCGCTTCGCGGCGACAGTCTGCGGCGGCTCATTACAAAAATGTGAACCTAGTTGGCCCACCCGAAAACGCCGCTTCGCGGCGTCCGACTATTCGCTAAAGTGTCGTTCGGTGAAACGTGGGCGTTCGCTAAAACATCATTCGATCAAGCGGGGGGCATGGCTTAAAGGCGGGCGCTCAAAATTTTCTTCAGCGTGGCAGAAGATTCCCCCTCTTTTCTTTTTTTCCTCCTCCCCTTTCCTCCCCCATTTCCTCCTCGCTTTTTACGGCCTTCTCGCACGACTGCTAATGGGCTTACCGGCCCCCCGACAAAATCTCTGTAACCCTTCAAGGTTCTCTGCTTCAATCCCAAACACCAGGGATTAGTTCGGCAGGCTGAATATGAGCTCGGAAGGGTTCGGGCTGGCTCGCTTTTCTTTCTTTTTTTTTGCTCTTTTTCTGCAGTTCTAAAACACACTCAGATAGTCAACACCAACTAGCCCAACAACAAGTTCTTTTACATTCGGATACTTCCGCATGCGGCCACACACGCTACAATACCGCATATTTATCTCGAGTGAACGGAATTTGAACATCACAGCAGAAGGAAAGAAGATGGGTATTTTTATCTGAACTTTGAGCTCTACCCAGAGAGTTGAAAATTGGTCGTTCTAACAACGGCACTCTGAAGAGTGATTGTATCACTATTGTGTTTTCTTTCTTTTTTTTTTTTTGTTTTTTGTACAAACTAATAATCATGAGTAATTACAAGTCAAATATATTGCAGTCAGAGGGACACAGTCTGACCATTTCTGGGGCATAATATATAGGTTCGTACTACAGGTGTTTTCTAGAGTGACGGCCGCCTCGTTCAAGCTACTAAGAAGAGTAAAAACAAACTTCCATAAAAACTGAAACGGTTTATGGTATATTTCATCTATCTTCAGCCTTTGAAAAAAATTTCTTCGTGGCCAAACGTGCATTTAGTTTCTGTCAACAAATGTAACTGGAAACTTGACACCCGACAAATATCTTACGTATCAGCAAAGAGAACGGGAAACACGGAGATTGAACCGCAAAATCACAATTTTCTTCGCGTAAAATAGTGCAACTAGCAATAGTAGCATATTATGCCATTTATTAAAAGACAGCAGGTATTACGAAGTTTTTATTCTCTTCTGTTTGCATTTGTTCGCTGATGAAGAAATGGAATGCCCAGATAGCCTCTGCAGCCCTTACATAATTGTTTGGGGCTTTGTCAGGGTGGGCGAAGGCCATCTCCAAAAAAAACCAGGAGTTCGGAAGGTGTGCTACCGCAAGTTTTGGGGCTGCTTGGCTAATTTAGGCGTCTGGCGTTCCCCGCCTACTTAGAAAGGAAGCGGAACAGCGGTCAGCTCAACGTCGTCACCAAGCGGGAAATCATGCCGAAATGCGTCCTTGAACACGTGCGAGATCTTTACCCGAACCCAGCCGAGATTCACCACAATTCATCTACGAAAAAAACTATAAAAAGGGGTAGGCTTAAAGGCCGCCGTACAGTTTGCGCTTTCCACTTTTTCTGCGTTTCCTCCTCCCCTGCCCTCCTTTCCTTCCTTCACCCCCCCCCCCCCCCCCCCCCCCCCCCTGTTTACCGCCCTTCCCCGAGGGGACAACACGGAGAATGGATTAGGAGACGCCTCGGTTAATCCGGCCTAACCCGCCGAAGAGGGGGCCTGCTGCTTGACCAAAAATTATTTCGCTGCTCGAAAAAAAAAAAAAGAAAAACGCCGCGGGCGGCGACTGAATGCGCTTTGCCGGATGCGCAACGCTCCGTCCGCCTTGAACAAGCTTGTATGCACTGGACTAACATTTTTCGCAGCGCGGCAGGTTTAGTGTAGGTCCTATCATATGGTCCTGCAAGACTTCCCTGTCCGCCACAAGCTAGCCAATAATTCAAGAACATAACGACGGCAGCGTATTCAAACAGTGTAAAATGATATGTATATAATATTTATAAGAACACCGTTGTCTTCACTGCTTGGCTT